CGGCCGCCCGCCAAGCCGCTCCCGTCCCCCGGGCCGGCGATCCCGAGACTGCGTGGGCGGATCGGAACAATATGCTCGAGCGCATTGCACTAGTTGCGAGGTGCGACGGCTTCTCGGCCTTTGATGCAGAGGGCGTCGGCCGCCTTGTCGGAGAGCTCAGGCCGACGCTCGGCCTAGAGGTGGAGTCGCTGCTGCCTCTCTTCGCAAATCTGGGAGTCATTAAGAACGTGCGCTCCATGGCGTGCGAACGAGAGCACTCGCTCAAGGCGCAAAAGCAGGCGGCCGAACACGCCGTCCGCCACCTCGAAGACACCGTCGCCGCCCTCGAGGCGCACCTGCGCGACCCGCTCCGGCGGTCGGCCGACTCGGCGCCCGGGGAGGTGCTTTGCTCGCGGCTGCTGGGACTAACCAGCGGCATGCGAGTTAGCCCGCCGTACAGCGCCGTGGGTGGCCTCTCTGGCCTTGTCGACCGCATCAAGGTGCGCTACGACGCGCAGGCGCGCACGCTTCGCGAGGAGGGCTTCCGGGCGAGCGCCTTGCTCAAGGAGATTGGCGGCGGCGACCTGGCCAGTTTCCGCGTCGTGGAGGTTGTCATCGCGGACCGCGAGCGGTTGCTGCAGCAAAAGGTAAGTGCCGTCCTCGAGGGCCTGGGGGCGAGGTCGCTGCGCGTGCTGATGGAGGACCGCGCCACGGCGGAAAGACAGGAGGCGGCGGCGGCGGGCTGGGAGGCGGCGAGGGAGGCGGTGGCGGTCACCGAGGGGGCGACGGGCGGCAGCGCCGCGTAGTGGATGAAGGGCAGGCCGGGGAACTGGCGGCTCGGACAGAGCCAGACAGTGCGCTAGAGGGCGGTGTGACGTGGTGACTGAGGTGTGTGTGGCTGTGGGAGGGGTAGTTTTGGGGCTGAGGGTTGGAAAGTGCTCGTCTAGTATGCAGTAATGGATGGGGCCGACTTTTCTGCCACTCTAGTCCTCAGTCGGACAGGCGTCTGGCCGCTCGCGCCCTCGCCGTGGATCCGCGGCGCTGCCCCTCCTCGCTCCTGAGCAGCTGGAGGGAGCTCCTGCGGTGCGCTCCTCCTCGCAAATGTCTTGGTTTGGCGGGCACGCTGGGGGGGGGGGGGGTCTCACACGACACGCACACGGTCTGCAGAGAACTCGTGTGCGCTTGGGTTGGTCAGTGGGTCAGTCGCGCGGTTCGCGCGAGTATCGAGATCACACGAAAGATCCACGTCCAACCGGCCTCACGCGATCAGCCCACAGCCGACACGGGGGGGGGGACTCACGTGAAGGAGCGAAAGGTGAACAACCAAAAACAAAACCATATTCGAGACTCTCCGGGCCACCGCCCGGGAGAGTAACGCGCGAGTAGCGAGCAAAAAAGTGAGCGACAACACAGTGAGAGAAGAGAGAGCCGGAGAGCGACGTAAACGGTCCACACGTATCACGGGGAGAGGGAGGCGCCACGCTGCCGGGGGCAGCTCAGAAGGAGGCGTCGCCCCAGTACGCGCCCCACGTCTGGCCCGTGACCGCCTCCTGCGCCAGGAAGCCGGCAGCGGCGATCATGCCGAGGCGGCCGTGCGACAGCTCGCGCTCCTGCATGAGGCGCAGGTCCTTCTCGTTGCCCGGCGCGAGGTTGAGGGGGTCAAAGTTGAGGTAGCCAGGGTAGTAGTCTGGGCGGAGGGCGGACGGCGCCTTGCCCGTCTTGGGGTCCACCTTGGCCCACCCCACGCGGATGCGGTAGAGCTCTGCGTTGCCGATGCCGATGGTCATGACGATCCACAGCCAGAAGGGCAGCTGGGGGATCTGGTCGATGGCCGGGCCGCCGTCGCCGGAGAAGAGCGGGTGGAAGCGCTCCTGCACGAGGAAGCCGGTCGCCGCGAGCATGCCGACGCGGCCGTGCGCCAGCTCCGCCTCGCGCAGCCGGTAGACCTCGCCCTTGCTCTTGCCCTCGAGGAAGCCGGCGGGATCGAAGTTGCCGAGGATGTTGTCGCCGCCGGGCAGGCCGAACGCAAACTCGTCGGCGAGCGGGTCCTTCTTGGCGGACTGGAGGGCGGGAGGGAGGGGAGGCGTGAGGCCGCGGTGGTGCGAGGGTGGATAGAGCAGGCGTGACGTGTGGCGCGATGGCTTTGGTGGCGCTGGCGCGATAGCTTGTGGGTGCACACCTTCTTGCGCATCGCGACGGCCATGCGCGGCGACACCTTGGGGGTTGCGACGAGCGCGGGGCCGGCTAGCGAGAGCGGCGAGGAGAGCAACGCGAGCGACATGGTGAGGAAGGAGAGGTGATGATGCTTCTGTGACGCTTACTGGTCGATTCCTCGACATTTCTCGACTGGCCAACACGAAGTGCTGCGATCGGGTTGGCCCATTTCTTTTTTCCTTTCTTTTTTTGGGCCCTGTGGGCACCCTAACCAAGCTAGCCCAACGCGAGCATAGCTGTGAAGTGCTGCGGAACTGGGAGTTTACCTTGTGCAGGGCGTGAGCTGCCGCCGGACCCGAGGCGTGAACCATCGCCTTGGGCCCGTGAACCGGCGATATGCAGCGTGTTCTGCAGCCTTTGACGCAGGTCGCAAGAAGAGCGACTGCCACTCCCCGGGCCGGGCCCTGGCGAGCGGGCGCATGGCGCCCGACGCTCTGCCATGACCTCCGGGAGGTTGAGTGGCGACCTCGGTGAGGTTTACTTAGTTCGTTCTACGGAGTGACAGCACCTCCGGGCGGTTTTAGAACTTTGATTGTTACTCAAGCCACACAGAACACCCGCTTACTAGCCTACTTTTCAGCGTTTCCGGGCTCGCAAAACCCGGCGGGTGCAGCGGCGCAAGACCTCTCGGAGGTCGCAGGCCGACCTCGGGGAGGTCGGGGAAAACCCCCCGTTCGGCTATCTACTCGCTCCCCCGCTACTCACAGACACTACGGCTGTCACGGGAGACTCACAGTGGCTACTGAGACTGTTCACACGTGACGTTCACACCTGGGGGACCAGGGTGTATCCGCAACTCGCGCAGATCACCCCCTCAGCGCCGACATGCCGCGGCTCGGCTGTTGGTGCTGCTAGTGCCCGTTTGGGGATCACCAGTGTCCCCCAGCTAACTACCCGAGGGCGAAAGCGACGAGCGGATGGAAGACACTTGCCACCAGCGGCTTGGTCATGATGTCCGCCAGTTGGCCTTGGGTGCGGATGTGGTACATGTGTACGCGCTTGTCATCCTTAATTTGCTCCCGTAGGAAGGCAATCTTGGTTGCGACGTGGCGCATCCTCTTGGAAGAGGTATTCCCCTCGGATAGGAGGCAGGCCGACTTGTTGTCGCAGTAGACCGGCATGGGGAGACCCAGCTCATCCTTCGAGTGCTTCGCCAGGAAGTCCGGTAGGTCTTCGAGTGCGAAAGTAATGGTGTCAGAGAGAGCTAGTCCCGTTTGGACTGCCTTGGTCGCGATATCATACTCCCCTTGCGTGCTCGAGAGAGGGGTAGTTCGGAGTCGTCCCGAGTGGAAGCTGATTAGGTCCTCGCCATGGAAGATCATGTATCCAGCCTGTGGCTTCTCACCCCCATGCGAAGCGTCAGGGAAGATCTTGGGGGTGAATCGGTTGACTTCGACCTTGGTTAATTCGGTGTGTTCGACAATATGGTCGTCCAGCTCGCCCGTGAGGTCACGTCGGTAGACAAGGGCCTTCGAACTGGTTTTAGCGAGGTACTCAACCACACCGATCGCACACTTGAAATGGCGCTCCCCTCCCGCAGCAGCAAACTTTGCCAGGAGTGAGTAGGCGAGCGCGATGTCGGGGCGCGAGATGGTTGCGAGCCATCCTAGCTTGCCGATCAAGCAGGCGTACTGCGGATGGATCATCTCACCTTCAGCAAGCGGCGTGAGGTTGCTGATTTCTTCCGTGCATGGTACAACACGGCGAGACGGGTGCGGCTTAGTCTCGAGGAATTGTTCCACGAGCTGCGTCGTGTACCGCTGTTGGTGAAGCTTGACGGTACCCGCTCGCAGGTCTTGCGCGATCGTCGCACCGAAGACCCAGGTGAGCAGCCCGTTGTCGCGCAGTGTGAACTTGTCACTAAGCTGCTTGACAAATGCATCGCGGAAGTGCTGGCAAGAGCACGCCATGATGAGGTCGTCGACATAGACGACAAAGAGGATCATCTTGCCCGACTCGGAGTAGCGCCACAGGCATGGGTCGACCGTGCTTTGGACTGCGCCAAGGGAGAGGAGGAAGTTCCGGAGCTCCTCTTCCCAGACGGCACCCCCTTGCTTCAGGCCGTACATCGCCTTGACCAGACGAAATGCCTGTTCGGGCTTCCCGCGTGTCTTTTGGAAGTCGCCAGTGTACTCGTAATCCCACGAGTCGCCGTTCTTGGTGAATTTCCAGCCCCTGGGGAAGCGCAGGTAGAGCTTAACACCTGGTTCGATGTACCCGTTGAGGTAGGCAGTCTTGATGTCGAGGCTTGTGAGAGTGAGGTCCATCGAGGCGGCGATTGAAAGGAGTGTGCGCAACGTGTCGTAGCGCACTGTGTTGGAGAAGGTGTTAAAGTAGTGTTCTCCAAACACTTGCATGAAGCCGCGCGCGCAAAGCCGCGTCTTCCGCCGTCCGATTGTGAGGTCCTCATTGCACTTGATGTCTCGTACGACGGTGGGATCGATCACCTTGCATCCCGGCGGTACCGTCTCGATGCGCATCGCGCCGGTGTCCCTGAACGAGTCGATCTCCTCGCAGAACGAGTCCATCCATTGTTTACCATGCGGGCCTTCGAAGGCGGCCTTGCACGACTTTGGGATGTCGATCATCTGGAGTTCATCAGGTCCTTCAGCTCGCACCATCTTCTGGTAGGTCGCGAAAGCGGTGATGGCGTCGGTGTCTTCGTCGTCGATCCATTCTTGAAGGTCACGTCGGTCAGAGACGTGCATTTGGGGGGGTTCGTCGCATGTCCCGCCATAACCTGTGTGCGTAGTCGAGTGCACTTCAGGCTGCTTGGACGCGTCCACCCCCTCAGGCGAAGGCCCTTGGGCCTGCTGCCTGTTGTGTTCAGTAGCCGGAGTGGCGGACGCCCATGTCACTTGCTTGCCAGCGTCGTGCGCGCCTTTCCACGCCTTGACGCGTGGTGGCGGGGCGGCGGTAGCCCAAGTCACGTCTGAGCCCGACTTTGGTGGGCCAGCCCACGCCTCCACCGTCGGTGGGTTGGCGGGTGGACTGGTCACACCCCCTGGATCGTCGGGAGGCGTTGTGGGCGACGAGTTGCTTACGCGTCCTCGCGGGAGGAGGTATTCGTCAACCCTGACGTTGCGACTGATTTTGTACTTGCCAGAGGTCAGACCCTTTCCATTGGGGATGAAGACAATGAAACCCCTGGCGTATCGAGCCGGTCCGATTAGCCAGCCCTTGTCGACGAGGGTTTCGAGCTTGGCGCGTCCTTTGGTTGGTTCGCGTAACATGAACGCGCGGCAGCCGAAGACCTTGAGGTGTCGTAGGCTTGGAAGGTGGCCTTTGAGTCGGCAATATGGCGTTGTCCATACCTTGCCGGATTGCCGTTGTTTGGCAAGTTCCTTGCGCTCCTCGTTGTTGTTCGGCGGTAGGATGCCGATGGTCGAGCCCACGGGGTGCATCCTCCTCGGCTGCACGTTAATGCGCTTTGCCGCTTGAATGATGGCCATCGCCCAGTGGCATGTGGGGAGGCCCGATTCGAGAAGGAGAGCCCGTGTGGTAGAGCACAACTTCCACATCGCTTGCTCTGCGATGGTGTTTTGGTTTGGCGCATACGGTGAGCTCTGCGTTTGCTTTTCACTCTTTGAGCGCAGGTACTCGGCGAACGAGTTATTGATGAACTCGCCGCCGTTGTCGCTGTGGAAGCGCCGTTGGATGGTCGAGACGTATGGCGACATATCTTGCTCATAGCGTGCGTAAGTATGCTCAAGGTCGCTCTTTTCTCGTATCGGGTATACCGAGATGTAGCCGCTAAAGTCGTCGACGAAGACGGCGGCGTACCGGAAGCTGTGAACAGCGCTTTCAGGGAGAGGGCCAAGGAGGTCGCTGTACGTCAGCTCTCCCACTTGGGTCGACTTCTCAAATGTTGGGGCTGTCTTTGTCTCCGGTAGTTTCTTCATGCGAGAGCCGACGCACGTTTCACAGGAGTGGCGGTGTTCGGCGATCGCTTTTGCGGGCACATGGATGTCGCAGCCGACAGCGTGCTCTGGCAGTTTAGCCATAGCTGCGAGAGGCATGTGCCCTAGGCGGCGGTGCATGAGCTCCACGTCTGGGCTCAATTCCGTCCATAAGGCAGTGGATAGGCTTTGGTCGTACCCGCTGACTGGCCTGATGGCCACCCGCGAGATGTCTTTGGCGTTTGACACCGAGACTTCTCGTCCGTCTATGATGAGCGTGTCGCTGTTGCGTGCGCTGATCGAGCTCACATCTTGAGATGGGATGATCTCGGAGCCGTTGAGACGGCGGTCGCGATTCACCGAGAAGATGTTTGCTTTGAACGTCGGGAGGAAAAATCCGTTGCGCACGACGGGGAACCAGTTGCCGTCTCGGTCTTGCACCTCGAAGGCGAAGGGTCCATAGGAGTGACACGTTTCGGATTGACCCGTGCCGGTGTTCATGCGGACATTGGTCGGCACGTGGGCGGAAGGGTCGAGGATGAAGGCTTTGTCTCGGAAGACGTGGGCGCCTCCGCATGAGTCGATGTGGAGGTGCGTCGTCTGGTCGCCTTCGTCAGCGGATAGGTCGGTAAGGTGTGCTGATGGCGTTCCGCAGGTTTCACTCACCAGCACGGTGAACTGGTCAGCAGAACAGCTGATGTCGAAATTAATCTTGAAGTGTCGTGCGTAGAGGTAGTCAACGAGGGCGAGAGCGTGCTTAAACGTCCTCTCGTCGACATTATGGGCCTCGGACACGGACGGCAAGCGCGTGTACTGTTCGGGGAATTCCCGAAAGTTGATTGCCGCGTACAGTGCGTCGGCGGCGCCTGGAAAACCGTCGAGCCCGCCTCTCTTGGCGAGCGTACTGAAGGCGTCGGTGTTGTGGGTTCTGACTTGCCCCTCATCAAGAGCGCAAAGGCACGCCTCGAGCTCAGGATAGAGGTCGATGTACTCTTCTTCTGGAGGGCTTGGTGGCGCGCTTTCCGGACAGTAGACTTGCCGGTGCGGGCTCGGTGCTGTCGTGTTCGGAGCGCTCAATGAGCTGGGGCGGACCGTCGTGTCGGGCCCCGCTTGGGGGCGAAGTCGGCGGAGGAGGGTGTAGCAATTGCATCGCATCTCGCACTGCGAGCGGACGCACGCCATCTTTTGGCCGTACGTCTCCTCATACATGCGGTGGTATTCGTACTCAGCGCGAGGATGATAACGCTCGTCGCTTGGGGCGATGTGCCATTCGTATTCGGACACGCCGTTCGATCGGTTGAGCACGTTGGCTTCGGCGAAGGCCGGCACGACTTGTACCGGACCGAGGTCGAATCCAAGAGTCCGGGGAATTGAGGTTGGAGGGCAAGTGTTTGCCGACCTGTCGCCTTGCGAGAACCGAGGCGGGATGGCGACCGGAGCGCTTTGGGGAGGCGTCGAGTATATCGGCGCGTGCGATGGTCCGGCCCCCCCGTGGTGTCCTTGGTGGGCGAGCATGGTGAGGGCCGCGTCCTCGATGTCTGCCACGGGCAGGTTGTCGATGTCTTGGTCACTTGATGACGACCATGAAGTACAGCGATCGCCACCTCGCTGGCCTCTCCGCAAGGCCTCCCGACCGCGTCGAACTCACGGCGCGGGCTCTCTCGGCTACGGGACCGGCCCCAGCTTCGGCTGAGGGCTAACAAGCTGCCGAGCCCAAATCACTGTGAGAGTCGTGATTTCTTGTTGGTTAATAAAAATCTCTCTCGCGTGCAATCATTCGCACGCGGTTATTCCGGCGATGTCAAGGTCGTCTGTCCCCTCAGCAGCAGCGGGGATGGATCATGGATGGGAGCACGGTCGGAAGGGAGGGCGCTTTTGTCGCTTTCGTTCGGCGAGAGCGTTCTTTCTACCGGAACATGGTCGTGGGGCATGGGCCCTACTGCGAGGAGGGAGAGGGGGGGGGGGGGGGGAGTATTCTTGCCGCCGCGTGCACGCACGCAGCAGCCGCCGCGGCAGAGACGAGCCGCGGCGACGGCCGCAACTGATAACTGCCATCACACTCACACACACAAACAGAACAACACAAAAAACACCTCGGCTGCGAAAATTCTCATTGCAAAACGATTCGACTCGGCCAGCGGCCGTCTCCCTCGCGGCCGCCTCTTCCCTCGCGGCCTGCACACACACACATGCTGCTCGCGGCTGCCCTCTCTGTCGTGCGGCCGGCTGCGGTCGCTAGCAGCCGGCAGCCTGTCTCGCGCGGCGGCCGGCCCTCGATGGCCGCGTCGCGCCTTGAGCAGCTCGCCGCGGTGACCACCCTCTCGATAGACACCGGAGACCTCGACGTCATTGCCGAGTTCGCAAAGACGGGCAGCATAACCGACGCGACGACGAACCCGCTGTTTGTGAGCCAGGCGGGCCTCAGCGGCGACGAGCGGTACGTCGCGTTTGTCGACGCGGCCGTGCGCTACGCCAAGGCGAACGCCGACGGCGACGGCGCCGTGCTCGAGCTGGCGATGGACCGGCTCGCGGTGGAGCTCGGCCTCGAGATCGTAAAGCTGGTGCCCGGGTACGTGTCCACCGAGGTGGACATCCGCGAGTCCTTCAACACCGCCGAGTCGCTCCGCCGCGCGCGCCGCATCATCGCCATGTACGAGGCCGAGGGCGTCGACCGCTCGCGCGTGCTGGTCAAGCTGGCGGGGACGTGGGAGGGGATCCAGGCGGCGCGCGAGCTCGAGCGGGAGGGCATCCGGTGCAACATCACCCTCATCTTCGGCTTCATCCAAGCCGTCGCTGCTGCACAGGCCGGCGCCCGCCTCATCTCGCCCTTCCCCGGCCGCATCAAGGACTGGCACTCTGCAAACGGAGGCGAGTCCACCTGCGAGCCGAGCGATGACCCCGGAACCTTCTAGGAACCTTCTAGGAGCCTTCTCCTAGGCGAGTCCACCTACGAGCCGAGCGATGACCCCGGAACCTTCTAGGAACCTTCTAGGAGCCTTCTCCTAGGCGAGTCCACCTACGAGCCGAGCGATGACCCCGGAGTCAAGTGCGTGCGGCGCATCTACGCGTACTACAAGGCGCACGGGCACGACGGCACCATCTGCATGCCCGCGTCGTGGCGGCCCTCGCGCGGACCGTCGGACCCTGCCTTCGCCACCGACGAGATCGTCGCTCTCGCCGGTCTGTGCTGGGACACGCTGCTCACCACACGCCCACTGACACGCACCCACGACACGCCCACTGACACGCCCACGACACGTCCACTGACACGTCCACTGACACGTCCACGACACGTCCACTGACACGTCCACTGACACGTCCACTGACACGTCTACTGACACGTCCGCTGACACGTCCACTGACACGTCCACTGACACGCCCGCTGACACGTCCACTGACACGTCCACTGACACGTCCACTGACACGTCCACTGACACGCCCGCTGACACGTCCACTGACACGTCCACTGACACGCCCACTGACACGTCCGCTGACTCGTCCACGACCGGCGTGGACCGGATGACGTACCCCGCCTCCGAGATCACCCGAGATCACCCGAGATCATCCGAGATTAGGCGTGGACCGGATGACGATCCCGCCCCCGCTGCTGGCCAGCCTGGCGGAGAGCGAGGCGCCCCTCGCCCGCGCCCTGCAGCCGGACGTCGCCGCCGCCGCCTGCTCGGACCCGATCGTCGGCGGAGGAGAGACATCTCCGAGTCTCAGCTGCGGAGCCCATTCACGCTTGCACGCGTCATCCGCTGTGAGCAGGCGACATGTCCGAGTCTCAGTTCCGGCTCGCGCTCAACGCCGACGTGTGCGCCACCACCAAGATGGCCGAGGGGATCAACGCCTTTGTCGCCGAGACGCTCAAGCTGGAGCAGGCGCTCCGCGCGAAGCTGTGAGCGGCCGGGAAGTGGCACTGTGAGGCGTCGATGGGTCTGTCCGGAAGCGGCGGAGGCGGGGTCAGGGCTCGCGCAGGATAGATAGTCGTGGGAGGCAGAGGCGCGTGGTGGCGACCCGCCGCCGCACAGCTCTCAGCGCGCGCGCCGCGCGAGGGGCCTCGGCGCGAGGCGCGCGGTCCCGCTCATCGTCGTGTAGCGCCGAGGAGGGCCACATCCGCGAGAGTGTATTTGTTCTTGTCAAGTATTTTTTCTTGTCACCCGCATATGAAGAGAGCTCTCTCTCACACACAATTGCTCGCGCGCGCTCGCTCTAATGATTATAACTAATGAGTAATGTGGACAAAAACACACAAAATCTCTCGCTCTCATCAATATGTGTGTAATGCGTAATGTGTGGAGAGCACTTATTGTTGGTTCATGGAGCTAAGCGCCTAAGGACCACGGGAAATATGTATGTATTTTTGGGGATGCGAATGTTGGACGTAGGGTGGACGCGTCCAGAGGGGGGGTCAGGGGGTATGGCTGAGAGATGGGCCTGGGATGGACACGTCGGCGAGGACAGCGTCGCGGAACGACGGGTCGAGCCCCTCCGCCAATCGAGGCGGCGGTCGAGACGGTGAGCGGCTGACGTCCTCGCGGGTGGCGCGGAGTACGGCCGACACTACGTGCTGCGGCAGCCCGCGGAGCCGCAGGAGGCGCGGCGGAGCGGCTGCGCGTGGACGCGACGGCGAGGCTGGCCGGGCACGCTGTCATCGAGATAGGCACGCACGTCGAGATCCTAGGCGAGCAGGGGTGGTGGCCGGCCACCATCACGTGGCGGGAGGAGGGTTCGGGCGGCCGGCTCGTGTGGATGCGGTCGAGTACGACGGCTACCCGGACGCCGAGCCTCTCCTCTCCTTAGAGGAAGAGACGTGGAGGCAGGTGACGCTCGGCGCCGGCAGCGCGGCCCCTAATACCAGCGGCGAGGCGAGCGACGGCGAGAAGAGCGACGGCGAGACTGGGGACGCGCTGCCGGCGGCCAACGTCACGGCCCCTAATACCAGCGCGACCAACGTCGGCGGCGCGGTCGATACCGGCGGCGAGGGGAGCGGCGTCGAGAGGGGCGGCGGCAGCAGCCGGGATGGCCAGCGGCGCCACGTACGTCGCACGCGGCGGCGGTAGCCGGGTACGGGTGCGGTAGGTCATATACAGGGGGGTGCGGTCGTGAGGCTCTCTGGACGGTATCGTACGGCTCTACAGTATGAGAGGCGTGTCTGATACTCGAGTACCTTCTCGAAATGGCGGGAGCGCTGCTCGGGCGAGGGAGGTGGGTGCCCTCTGAGCGGATGGTTTGACCCGGGTAGCCAAAAGCACGAACGGGCAATACAAGTGACACACCACTGGCAAGCGGTGGGGGTCCCTCTCGAGTCGCTCGGGACGGAGCGCTTCCCCACGCTAGCGGCCTGCCGTGGGTGCGGCGGTAGCTTTCGCACAGTATGAGTGAGTGAGTACACACACACACACACTTTCGCACACTATTTTCCATGTGAGGCTGGAAAGGGGGGAAATGGTGATTTTTGAATGAACGCCTCGCGCAAAACCACCGCTACGCGTAATATGTGTGTGTGTGTGTTCATATGGGTCCAGGCGCTCCGGCCGCCGCAGTCGTCGCCGAGGCTGAGCCGGACGATGTGGCGATGCTCGACGGCGACACGATCAAGGTTGTGTGGCAGCAGACCCGCAAGACCCGCAAGGGCGTCATCAAGATGCGCGAGCGTGTGGGTACGGTGTGGTACCGGCCAAAGCAGCAGCGAAATCGGCCCGAGAATGTCTATCTGGTCGAGTTTCAAAGGCGGTCCGGCACGCCTCGCACGGCCAAAGGGCCGCGGCTCCGAAAGACGAGATGGGAGAAGCTTCGCGGGCGGAAGAATGAGGTGGTGAGCTCGACCGTGCTCCCGAAGCCTGCGGGTGCGAGGTGGACGCCTGAGGAGATCGAGGCTGTGCGAGTGAGGATCGATGCGGGAGAGATGCAGGCGAGCATTGGGCGGGGCATTGGGCGCTCTTGTGGTAGCATCGCTGGGTGTTCGAAGCGCTTCCTGTCGGGCTATGCGCCTCTGTCGACTGGAGACGGGCCGCGGGTGAAGAGCGGTGTCACTGTTAGTTTGGTCGAGAGCGCGATGCTCACGCTGCCCGAGAACGAAGGCACGGTGGTTGAGGTCTTTGAGGCGGTCAAGCGGCAGGCGGCGATGGAGGGTGTCGCGCTGAACCTCGAGACTGCGCCTGGTAAGCGTGCGATGTCACGCGCGGAGGCGAGCGTGGGAGCGCTTCTCAACGATCGAAAAAGCTTCCCTCAGTTCTCCGCCACCGGGGAGAAGCGCCTGTCGGACGAGCAGATAGACAGGGGCGACAAGCAGTTGAGGAAAACCGCTGTCTACAAGTACTCGCCGCCAATCGTCACCGCCGAGCGAGAGCAGGGCCTTCCGAGCACGAAGCGCGTCAGGGCTCACACGCCCAACGTCGGCGGCCCCAAGAAGTCGGCGCGCAAGACGAAGGAGCTTCTGGCTGGCGGCGACCGACGGCATGGATGATGGGGTGGTGGCACCGAGCCATTGCCAGCGCCGCGTTGGCGACGGTGCGTACGTTGTACGTTGACTGTGTACTGTGCACTCCTAGTACAGTACTATAGTGTATAGTGTGTACTAGTACCTCCCGCGCGTTAGTATTACTACGGCTCTAGTCTTAACAGGTACGGAACGGCTCTACGGCTTTTATATACGGGGTGTGGAGGGTGAGTTGACCAGGGGTTGTTGCACGAGTATATGGGCCACGATGTCTCAAATATGAGGGGTTTTGACTCCTACCGGCTCCTGACGCTATCTCTGGCAGCTCTAATGACCAGGATCAGTAGTGCTATGATAGAGGGTGCCCATGCTAGCGCAGGAACTGCCACACTCGCCCGGACCGTCCCCTTCTGGGTCCGGTTCCGCAGCCTGCGAGAGCCGACAGCGGGGCCGTGCCGCGGGTGCCTACTGCCGAGTGCCACAAACATGCGCCGTCCCGCCAT